TATTCTCTTCATGGAAGTATTATATATATACATAAACACACACACACACACACACACACACACACACACACACACACACACACACACACACACACACACACACACACACACACACACACACACACACACACACACACACACATATATTTCACTCCATCAGACATTCTAATATAGAAAAATAAGATATATCATATTTTTATCTATAAGACTTCGGGTGCTAATGAAACGATTTTGGTAAAATTCAAAATTAATCGCACCAAAAATTCAAGTTCCTTTTGGATTTTAACCCTCAACCAGGAGTTTCGCCTAAAGAAGTAAGGGTTATGGTAACTGTTGAATCTTCTACCAGTACATGGACACAATGTGGACCGATGGACTTACCAGTTTTGATCATTACAAAGGATGATGGTACTACATCGAGGTCATGAAATCAATCCACATTTTGGCAAAGCTTTCGGTGTTTGAAGCCTTCCAAAATTTTGTTGAGCTTATCAGACCACAACAACTCCATTAGAAGCGATTGCATGCTCCTATTCTCGACTGACTGTGGAAATCAATCTTGACGTGCCCAGAAGACTGAACTGAATGTTAGTGCCAACCCACATCTAACTCCCCCGCGTATGGAATGCCACTCGAAAGCCTCTCTACTCCTCTACAACAAAGGACAAGGAAGGACTTCTGCTTCTTCTGATGGCTCCTTTCCTGTCAATGGGAGGGTTCCCCCTCTGAGGAGGCAAAGGCCCATAACGAAAAGAAGAGGTCTCCTCTTTTGACAGTGATGCAGACGAGGAAGAGGAGGTGGGTTGGTAAGTCATTGTCCTCTTGAACAAGGCAATGAAAGAGGAATTGACGACTCGTAAATCCAACCGAACGATCACTTGTGCATCGATCAACAGACCAATTTTTTAGGAAGAGGGGGTTGCAACTGCGATTTCTCCTAGAGTCCCTTCAGAAGCAGATTTTCTCCCTTCGCCTTTCCCTGCATCAACCAAATGAGACAAAGCATTAATAGTGACTTCGCATGTCACCATGTTTTGAAAAATGACTGTGGTTTTAGACACTGAGGTGATAAACTTTGCACTCATGGTGCGACAATCGTGGAGGCAACAACACCCAAAGGAACATCTAAAACAAACCTATCAAGGGGATTATCTGCCATCGAGGGAAGTTCTAACTTTTTTTATTTTGTGGTCAGCTTTCCCTTCACCATCTTTGCTCGCTCAACCTCTGCGACATCAGAGGTTTCCCACTATTCTCGAGTCATCTCACTCTTCAACATTTAGTTGACTGTATTCTCGGTGGTGTATTGGGGAACCAAGAGCTGACACACATTCATCATTGCCTCAGCTGCATGCATATCCTTCGGGAGGAACATTAACTTATCTCATGTCACATTCGTTGACTTTGTCAAAATTCCCCAATGGCCAAAACGAGAACCAACCACAAACTGCGTCTTCCAGTCTTTTATTTTATTCTCAACTCCAAGCAGTTGAAATTTCTTACCAGCCAAAATCATGACAAAACCTTCCTTGTCAATCTTAAACAAATAAGATGGCCAAACAAATCGACGGACCAAGGTACACTTTCCTACTGATAGAAAATGACAAAAGTCATGATCGCAACAATGGAGTTTGGCAGAACATGGGTCAGGATAACCCTATACTTGATGAAAATGCTCTGAAGCTTGAGGCAAAATGGAAGTTGGAGGTCGTACTTGAATTGAACCAGGTAGAAGACTAGCTCTAGGCCAACATCATCCATCGTGTGCTATGATCCTGACACTTACCCGAGCATGATATGATAGTAAAATACCTACGGTCTTTGCATCTCTGCGACATCTCTTGCCCTATTTATATGGAGGATGCAGAAATCTTGGTGTTACAAAATAATAAGTTTTACACCAAACATCCTTTCACATGTTATTAAATATTATTTTGTTACAAATAACGTCATTATCGATCTTTAATGAATTATTTAATAAATGGGTCTTCTGAGGATTCAGTCGAGGCATATCACATCGGAATTAACCTTTGGAAGACCAACTCTCCACCTAATCTAAGATGTTTTATTCGGTCGGCATCGTGCTGGAACCTACTTAGAATGATCAACTCACGAAGGATCCAAATTGCAAGGTGGCGACCTCCGCTTGCAGTGCTGTCACCTTTGAGTCAATGATTGCCATACGGACCGACAATTCCCGCACAAGATCTTCAACAGAAAGTTCGGCCGCTCCCTCTGAAGGACCGACCGCACCCGTCGAAGATTCGACCACATTGGCTTGTCGCTCCGTATATTTGGAGAAAAGTCACCACCACTTGAGTTGCTCCTGTTGGGAACCACTGTAAATTTATTATAAACTTGAACAAGACTTTGGACGTCCAAAAAAAATAATAATAATAAAATCAACATGCTGGAAGATTACCTCACATTCGCCTAATTAACATATCATTTTATTGAAAGTATGAGGATGAACTCTCTAATACTCTTTGATCAAATTCTATTTTTTTTATTCTTTTTAGCATCTCATTTGTATTGATTACTAGTTATCAGATTAACATTATTTCTTGAAAAATAATATATTTTTTTACATTCAGTAGATCTAAAGTTGAATACATGAAATGTAATTTTAGTAGTGGTAGATTTAGTGATGCGGTTGTGACAATGGGTAATCAAGTCATTAAAAATAGTTAAAGTTTTAGATATCTCGGGTTTATTGTTCAAAGCGATGGTGATATAGATGGGGATGCTATTGATCGAACTTAAGTTGGATGGTTGGAATGGAGGAATGTATCAGGCCTATTGTATGATATAGAATCACCGCTTAACTTGAACAAAATTTTATAAGATGAAGGTGAAAAATGCAATGC